CATTTTTTGAACAACTGTGAGAGTCCTCATTGAGAAAGCCAACAAGAATATTGCATCTCTTCATGTTAGGATAGTTTTCATACCAGAAAAGGCTACCAAACATGATGAAATACAGCTTTTTTTTTTTTTTTTTTTTTTTTTACAAACCATCTATTGTAGAATTGTATGATTACAATTCACCCTTGCTCTTTATCAAAGGTTTCCTATTGATAAATAAGCAAGACAGTGTTTCAGACCTGATCTACAAAGCCTAGATGTGGCAAATCTGTAAGAAAGATTATTCCCTGGACAGGGGAGAGTTGTATTTGCAGAAGCTTGGCAGAGCTAAATAAAATAGGCTAACACTACCCAGCCTGCACAGTTGTGCTCTGTTTCTTCGTATTTATGATTTTCACCATCTGTAAAAGGTCTGTCTCTTGAAGTGTGATTTCACAGTTATCTTCCAGTTCTCCTGAACATGACTGGCTTGCATCTCTTCCTAATGTTATATAGCTGAACTTAATATATTATAGGGAAAGATTTCTTGTAGCAGATAAATTTACCTGGAAGGTGAAAGTATAGTGAAGGCAACATATTTTTTGAGAACTTCTATTCATAATCAGCATCAATGTCAAAAATGAATGATTTAACTTACCAGACCAGGTTTAAAAGGAGCTGTAAGTCGAGCTCATAATTCAGAGCTGTTACACTGGATCCTTTAATTATATACTGAATTTTTCACATGGCTTTAGAGATTGATGGCCTGATAGAAAACATTTATCTTCAGGATGGTGTATTTAAATGTAGTCCAGAAAGCTGGAAAGTTTGATCTGTGAAACAATTTGGTAATATTCCACTTGCCAAATGGTTAGAGGAACTGTGGTGGTAAAGCAGTGACCCCTTGTGCTCCTCTTAATGATGTAATGCTCACATGTTTTTAAAACTCACAAAAATTATTGTGAAAGTAATAGTGCTGTGGAGTGTTGTGATCCTACCTTAGACATCTCTCTGAGGAATGCTGTTATGGGCAAAGGCACCTTTGTGTCTCTGACTCTTGTAGTCTGCTGTGTCATAACCATCACTGTCCATCATCAGAAATAGATGAAACCCTTGAATGCCATCTTCTGATCATAGCTAAGAGCATCCTTGTTTGTTAGACTTGTGTTTTTCACACAAGTTTGTAAGCAAGTGTCTTGTATGACTACTTGATCACTACTAGAAGAGATAACTTTGAACAAAACCATGTACTGTTTACTTGCTTGTCGCTATGTTTTTTGAGTGGTCCTGAGTTGAAATTTAACAAGATATAATGCACAAGACATTCTGATCTCCAAAGTCAGACTGAGAGAATTAACTGAGAAAAAAAGATCTGAGAATCCATATATATTTTTTTTTCCAAAAACAATTCTATCTGTGCCTATTACTCAAGGGTATTTAGACTGGACCCAAGGAATATTTCCCTGAATATAGCACGTGTCTCTGATCACTGCAGCTTAATGGTAAGTTACTTCTCTGATAGATGGGCACAAGCTAGGGCTGCAAACTCAGTGGCCAGGACACTGCTAACAATAGTTGAAAAGTCAGCATAGGATAACATTCCTAATAATAAGTTTACTTTAAGATAATCTTCAGCTCCATAAAATGGCAGACTTGGTGCAGTTAATTATGAAGAAAATAAATAAAAATAATCTATCCAGCCTCAGGGAAAAAATGTATCCTATGGTACAGGATACATTGTGAACAGGAGCATAATATCCCACCTACACATCAGCTTTTTGGTAAAGTAGAAGGCCTTTGAAGAAGGTTGGAGATAACTAGTGTTGCCAGACTGGTTTTGTGCTTCAGAAGAAGGAATTAGTGAATTAGGAATCTAATTCCTTCAGAAGAAGGAACTAGAAGAAATAGTGTGTGGATTCAAGAGAGATTTATATAAGAAATGCAATTAAACATACTTTTTCTGTTCATGATCCTCCCCACAGTGTAGCAGTTTTATGTCCTCTTGATTTGTCCTCCTCCATGTTGAAGTGTGAGAAAGTGTGAGGAATGATTTTTTTTCACAGCAGCCTTGCACACCAAGGCTGAATTTCAGAAACAGATACTGAACTCTGCTTCCTTCTGGATTCAGTTCTCTTTCTACTAATCAGTCTTTAGTGTTACCTCCTCCTCATTTTTTGTTTACTTCTACATGTTGGATTAAATTGGAAAATAATTCCTGAATTGTCCTGTGATGCAGGACTTCTAAACGCATGAGGCTTTGAGTTTGACAAGGAGAATTGGAACTGGCATGTCTTTTCAGCTCACCCTCCAAACCATGCTGCTGGACACATTATCTTTTTTTTCATGAATAATGGATTAATGATCCCAAATTATAGAATATGGAGGCAGTCAGCTGGTGTTGCTTTATTCTGCAAAGCAGAGACCTATCCTTTTCAGCCCACCTTACCTCTGTTCTTTTGATTAATGTCATCAGACCAGGACTATCAGATATCAAACACTATGTAGAGGGCAGTTCCTGACTGCAGCCAGAAATCCAGCAAGTTTCTCTACGGAAAAACTGGGATAGTATTGGTCAGGCTAGAGAGCCGAGATTAGGTGGGAAAGGTCTTACAAGGTAGTAAGTACCTTCAGTCTGGGGAAAATCCAACTTGGTGCTCTCTGGTTTTTCCAGAAGCTAGCAGTTCTTCCAGGAGTCTCACCTGTGCAGCCTAGGACTGCATGAACCCAATTATCCTGTCATGCAGCAAAAGCTTCCAGTTAAGATTTCTGATAACATGGTGTAGTACTGGTAATTTAGAAATGGAGAATGAAGACATGTTAACGAGAGAGTATTGTTACTGTGAGATTATTCTTCAGTCTCACAGTCTGTACCAGTTCTCAGTAATAGAAAAAAGCTTACAGTTTCTCTGAGGAATAGCAAGGTGTTTGGTATTTTCACAGTACCAATGAGGTGAAATACTGAACCCAAAGTCGCTTGACAAAATGGTTGCTGCTGCAAAAGTTTCCTAATTGTGATACAGAGAAGCAGTATCCTACAAGAATGCAAAGATTCCTCCATGTATGTTACAAAGACACTCCCATACCACAGGAATGTGCCTGCTAGCCCTTGGCTAGATCATTTACTTACAGATTTATACAGCAAAGAAATGGCTAATACAACTGTGTTTGACCTCTTTATTTTATTAGCATATTTTATGTTCATACTTTACAATAAAATAAGTTATATATACAGCATTAAACAAGTTATTAGAAAGTAAGCTTTGGCAAGATCTACAGGATTTTTTTTCATTCCTGCACATCTTTTGTGTAACAATAAAAATACTGTATACTAAATAAAATAATGTTAAATAGTCTGTATTCACATTGGCACGATTGATTTCAAAACCCTATCTTTTCATGGCCCAATAAACATAGAAAAGAGGATTCTTGTATCTTCTTTATCTTGTATCTTCTAAATTATGTATAGTATTAAATGACACACTTAAGAGGCAGTCCACTGAATAACACTGTAGTTACACACTGGCACAAGAAAAATAGGTTCTTCACGGTTTTTTTTTTAGTTCCCCTTTTTTTTTTATGCTAGTAGCAACAGTAAAAGCTGCAGATTCAGGGTCTTGAAAATCTTGAAGATTGCTGAGTTGTCAGCAAATCTAGAAATCTCATTGAAGCCTGTTGAAGTCTGTATGAATTTGTCATTAATTTCAAGACACCGAGAATTTCACTCCTAAATTCAATATCAGTCAACTAGTTAAATGTTCAAATAAATGCAGCTTGCTGCTTTGATAAGAGTCAAAATTCTCATCAAATTTGGCATATGCAAATTAATGAAGAGTGTTTTGTGATACGAAAGAAAGGGGGGAAGAAGAATAATGACAGGGATAGGTTTTATGTTGCTGTATGTACTTCCTCTGCTATACAAATCAAGTGCTGAAAAGATGCTAAATATAGATGTTACAAGGTGATACTAAATGTTCTGCACAATTATAGTACTATAATAGGTAAGATCTAGTTAAGTGATGGAACACTGGTTGTTAAATTCAGGGTAATAGTTAATATTTTTAATAGCATTTTGTTCAGTCACGCACTTTGGAACTTAAGAAGTATTGCTTTGGAATTGACAGGTCTCTTAATTTAGTGATTGCACTCAGTGAAATCTGCCGTCACTATTTTAGCTATAAATTAGGCAAATAGGCTTGGTAACAGATACTGACTTGTGGTCTGGATGAGTTTTAGAGAATTTTTAGCCATGAAAACCAGAGACTTAGTTAAAAGGAAAAAAGTTAGCTGAACTTTTGTTATACACAAACTCACAATAATGCTTTACCTTCCACATGAATTTGTTTTCACGGGTAAATTCTGTGCTTATGGTCTGGCTTACAAGAGTATAGCATTTAAAAAACATTTTTCCTCTGCACTTCAAGTGTGTCTAAAGAAATCTGCTCTTTATCCTCATACTGCCACATGTGCACTGTTGTCTGAATTTCCTCTTCTTGGAATATAATTTGATATGTAGATGTCACTACCTGAAAAGTACATTTTTCATGGTAGTGGACAAGGTGCATTTTTTTCTCGTTTGTTTGGGGTTTTGGTTTTATTTTTGTAATAGCAAAGAAGAAAAGAACTTGTTCTCAACTCACAAGGAGCGACTGACAAATTTTGCTGTCCACTTGCCTAATCAGCTTGTCCTCAGCAAGTCAGCAGTTTGAATTTATAATTTCTGAAATGTCAGTATGGACCAAGAGTGCATTAACGTGCATTATGTATATTGTTTTGAAGCACTTCAATCTGTAAGTTATAGTGATTCTTTTTTCATATGGTATATTTAGTAAATCTGAGGACGTACTTCTAGATTCAACAAACCCATAGTAAGTGTAGAAAATGAAACTGGTTGGAGCAGATAGAAATGTATGTGCCTCACGTGTATTAATTGACACTGCAGCTGTGGTACTGCTTCTGACTGTAACTATTAAACCATTACACCATTGAATGAAGTCCTAAGAGACAGGAATATTTTCAGAGAGCTATTCAATGCCTTTCTTGAAGGCCAGGTAGGAAGGGTATCAGCAGGGTTATTTGCCCTTAAACTCATAATACAGACTGCAAAATGGATGTTTGTGTGTCCACTTGTTATCAGTAACTGGTTAATATAATAATTTTTGTTTATTGACATGTTTCATACCAAGGTTCTTGGGAGATTTCTGCTCTTATTTTTATAAATGTGCAACTTCACTTTTTTTTAGAAGTCAAAGAGAAGAGCTTCCCATTGGCTATCAGGAGCAATTATGTAGAAGAAACATCAATGGTCTTTTGTCCATAGTCTTTGTGTGCTTGCCGAAATCGTGCTTCTTTGGGGTGATGTAGAAGTGCAGGTCCCAGGCAGGCATGTCAGGATGTCCCTGCTGGTTCAGGAGCTGGCATTGCTTGCGCCCACTCCAGAATATCTGCACACAAGGATTCAACAGCATCCAACCGCTCAATTTGTACCAGTTTGGTTAGCAGTTCTGGGATACTGTAACCTGCCGTGCTGATGCGGTCAAACAGCTGCATGCCGTCTGTCATACCGCCTATCTCATCTCTCTTCAGTCCAAAGCTCTCGGCAAGGTGGCGCCACGTTTTCACTATGGCTTTTTCTGTGTTGTAGGTCGAGCTGAGCATTCGGCTGGTCTTCTCCAGGCAATCAAATGGCAGCTCTGTAGGGCTCAGACCTGTAAAGGGAGGTGTGTACTGTCAGGTGGGTCTGGGCATGAGTGCTGACATTTAAGTACTAGAGATTATACTGTTAGCAGTGAATACAGCTAAAATCTTTAAGTGATAGTCCATGACAGGTATGTCTAGCTCCAAAGGTATTACTGTATATTATCAAATTAATTCTTCCTAGTGACAGTAGGGTACAATAATTAGGGTAAACAGTTGCCTGGGAAAGAAGTATTAGATGGCTTGTGTGAATTCCCATGACTCTGCCTCTTCCTTCAACAATTTACTAGCTGTTAGAAACAGTATATTGTAACTGTATCCCTAGTGAGCAGCCCCATTAATACACCTCTGCACGTCAGGCACAGTGTTTGAGCCTGAGAGACAGCTTTGACCCTTCTCCAGGACTGTCACCAGCAGCTGCTGAAACATGTCTGTAATTGAAAGTTGCCCTTGTGGGAAAGCCAGAAGTGAAGTGAAGCAATGATACCAAATGCAAGCATAAAAGTCCCTGCAAGTGCTCCACTGTCATTACTGTCACTGAATCCCTAGAGAGGATTTAGCATTCATCCTGTGGGGAAAAAGCTATTTTTTCATGGACATATATTCTGTGTATTCATGGTCAGAGAACAGAGGAGAGAATCAGCTACAGGATTTTTCCCAAACCAGCTTTTTGCTTCTGTAGTTTTCCTGCTTCTTACTCAACAGCAGTAATTTGGTGAGAGACAGAGCTCACTGAACCACAGAATACTCATACATGTGCACATGAAGTGTGTGTGTGTGGTGGGAAGTAAATGCAGTCATGTCTCCTGTTCTGCAGGGAATTTAATTCATGTTGCTTCTGCTAGAACAGTTCAGACAGTCAAGTGCTAAACATGGTTAAAACACTTAAAACTTGGAAACTCCACTTTTTCTTGTGAGAGGTGGGACACCATTTAAAGAAGCAGAGTGTCTTACCCCCAGTCCTGACCCTCCCCAAATCACACTTCCATATTTGGAACTATTTTCTATCTGTTATCCAAAGAACTAACTAAATAAATCAAACACGTTTCCTTTAGATGGGGAATGCAAAAGGGCTTCTTCACAACTTGGTCTGTGTGTGTGTCCCAACACAGCCGAACACAACTCTTCCTGCTCTCCATAGGAAGGAACCCTGTGCACATGACTGGAGACAAGTTGTGACATCCTCCAGCGCAAGACCAGGGCCTAGATAGCTCTGGGGTCAGGGCATCCTGGCAAGTACAAATCTGGCTACGGTGTCTTTTCTGGATTGGGACCGTTTCTGTAGAAAAGCAGAGGCCTTTCTTATAGCAAACACTTGTGATCTAATTTCATGCTGTTAATATAGGTGCAAGTTCTGTGCACTCACCTTCTGCAACGTCGCATACGTTAGCATACACATCGAGTATCTTTTTCCTTCGACTTTGAATCTAAATGAGAAAAGTTTGATTTCATTAATTTTTCAGTCATAAGAGTAAACAGCTAGCAGACAGAAGTGGAAAATCTGTGGGACATGTTCATTTCATGGTGCTAGGGGTTATCCTCAAGGGTCCCTTTTGAAGACTCAAAGAAAATGACACAACCATTATTCCATGAAGCATAAATGTACTTCTGATTTCACTTGCTACTGCTAGAGATCTTTCCAACTTCTAGTCTTTTTTGAGAGCAATTGCCTTTCTGCTTCAAGTGTTTGTCTATTTTATTTTCCTTTCAGACCAAAGCAAACTCCTGAGAATGAGGACAAATCCAGTATCATGCATGCAGACAATTAATGTAGGGATGTCCAGGTAAACCAGGTCAGGACTGGCTGCAGAGAACTAAATTCAGACTGAAATTGCCTTCTTCCAGTGATCTAAGAGGACTCTAGAGGAGGAGATCTTCCTTTCTGTCATTTGACGTAGAACTACTTAGTTAATTACTAATTAACTATATTTTCTTTGATTATACATTGTCTTCATAAATCTGAAACATTTTAGAGATAGATTAAAAAAAAAAAATCAGTGAATCTTTGAAAAGGAAAAATCTGAGGTCCAGGATGCTCTGGTAATTTTTGACAAGAAAGAATCTCAGAATGAAAACCTGACATTTTTAAAGTCAAAAATGGACATTTTTATATAGTTTCATTTAGCAAAAGTCAGAGTTTGGCTTTGGATTCAATGTGAGTGAAAACAAATGTCAAAATGTCATGAGTTTGCAGGTACTGGAATTTTCTTCCCTGTGCCAGCTCTCATTAGGACTGAGATTTCTGAAAAGCTGTCTTTTTGACAGGACTCTAGCATTATCTCCACAAATTTGTCACTTTTCAGTGCAAACCAGGCTAGAAAAAAAAAAAGCTCTGCTTTCAGTATTTAGTTTTGTGGAAAGATTTTCCTCATTTTATTTGGGCTCTAAAGGGCAAGGCACATCAATGACTTGGATTAATAGACTTGCAGATGGAGACCATATCACTGCTCCAACCTGAAGCCTGTGATGTATTGCAGGGCAATGCAATCCAGACACTGACTGTTGTTCACATATTCTTACTTTAATTTACATGTGCTTAATAGGTCATGTTGCTATTGTAGGCTTGGATTAGCTGTTTTAGAACCTTGTAAACAGGAAATTTTCTTTTAATAGGATTTATTAAAACTCCTTCTAGAAAAACTATTGGATCCTTTTTTTCATTCTCCCCTCACTTTCAGGGTAAAGAAGGAGGTTAAATAATTCCATGCCCATGAAGAATTGTGCGGGATGCTCTTTTTACCAGAGCCAGAAGATAGAGGATTTGTAAACCTTATGCTGAAAGTAAACAGGTGACATTTAGCCTGATGATCCTCTGTGTGGTAGCTATTCGCAAATGGATTTTGTTTTAACTAGGAAGAAGCAGACTTGGTTAACAGCAAGACTATTTTTATCCATGTCCAATGGCTACTGAATACTCTTTCCTGTGCTAGTCATGTTACTTAATCTCCAGCCTGAAGCAAATTACTGCTTTTCTAACTTATGGCAAGTGGCTTAATTGTGACATCTTAGGTATGGAGTGGAGGATCTTGACGCAATCTGCACTTTCATTGAAAAGTCTGTCTTCAGCCTTGTCAGCAGTCTTCAGTCTGTGAGAAGTATGTTTCTTCCAGAAGGTTTGGAAGAAGTAGTTCATGCTTCAGGTGTGCTTATGAGATATCTACCTAAATGACTCTGGAGAATGTGTCTAATATATATAGTCTTTAGAAATTAAGATGCTTCTTATTAAATGTTCCGATTTCATGCCTACCCAAGGTGTGTTGTCCTATTTCAAGCCAGTGCTTATGGCAGTATCATGAAGTTGGATATTTTTAGAGACCTCAGAAACCTGAATTTTAAAATGTGAGCATTGGAGTAGGAAGTTATTTTCAGATGGTCATAACATCTGAAAACTACAAAAACTACAAAACCATTTTGCTTGTGTTGAGACTTTGTGTCTGGACTAAGCTGAAAAGCGAGCTGGTTTAGAAATTTTGAGCTGAACCATCCCAACAATTTAAAACATGCAAACATGAAAAGAAGCATTTTCAAACTTCTTTATTCCTAAATGATATTGGATGTTTGATATTAATTATGCGATTTTGTACTAGGTATTGCCAGTTTTTGAAGTACTAAAAAGATATCTGAGCACACACTTTCTTTTTAAGGACAGTTTCACGTTAACACAAACAGAAAAGTTGTGTGGGTGAGGTGTGGCCTTAACTATGCCTTAAAATACTCCAAGTGAGATAAAAAGCCCTGAGCAGTACACACTAAGCAGGAAGAAGCAAAGACCTTCCACAGGAAAACAAACAGTGGTTTACAGTGTCCTTCAGAGCAATGACCTTCAAAACATTTGTGTGTTTTTCAAAATTACGCATGAAAACCAAGCACAACACCGGATATTATTGAGAAGTCTGTGCTGTGGAAATACCAGTGCAGCTGGGTCAAGGTACTCAGATGCTACACTGTCAGCTGAATCCAGCCATGCTGCTACATTATTTTATTGTCTGGGATCTTTCACAGTAAATGTAGCATTTGGGATAGTTTTATTAGCATTAGCCATAACAAGGGGTTGCTGGTTTTGTTGTTTCTTTCTTTAGACTATAACATTTAATACACAGAGAAGTGAAGTTATTACTCTGGTTGGAAATTTGGGTTTCATACCTGAACAATATATATGTACATATATGTCACTGTGCAAAGATGATTCCATAAACAATTTGTCTGGAGAAGCTCTTGTAAATCAGTCTGATCTACACTACAATGCATTTGGGGAAGGTGATAGTTTGTATATTTTTTCCCTTCAAAAAAATATAGAGAAATGCTCTCAATTTTTAAATCTCAAAATAGCCTTACCCCAGTTGATTTATTGCTTGTAGAAGATTTATCTCTGGCCAAATGCACTAAAGATAATAAGCATCTCTCTGGGGTCCCTTGCTTGTCAACTGCAGCTTCTTCATCACTATCCATACTACGGCTTAAAAGTCGTTCATTCTCAGAAGATGCATCGTTTTCACTGTAAAATGAAGGATATGGTTATCTTAGCAAAGCCTACCATGGATTGACTCCGGCCATCTCCTTTTTGCTATCTGAGAGTTAACTGAATAAAAGTGTCTTCCATTTTTTAAAATGCCTTTCCTCTGAAATCCTGTTAAAGTAATGGCATTCACCAACCCAGGGTGTATGTACAGTGCCCAACAAGTAACACAGTCACACATAGCTTGCAATAATCCTTTTATAGAGGGATTTTCCAACTGAGGACAGTGTTTAGCCCACCATAATCGTGTTACCCGGGCAGGTTTGGCTGCCAGGCAGAGACAAGGTGAGGAAAACCACCACACTGTGCCATCCAGATGATGCCACAGAAAAGGCCTGTTACAGCTATTTTCACTTTTCCTGCCTAGAAGGGAAGGGGAACCTTACTAAGGCCATGTGAGTGAGAGCTGCACTCAGATCCCAGAAATGAACCTCTCAAAAGTTGAGATAGAGACCCAAGAGCTAATGAGTTGGTCACAGAGGGAGTGAGGAGGGCGCAGGTTTCTCTTTGGTGACGTCTGCCATTGTCCGAAAAACTGGAGAAGGAAAAGCCTGCTAAGGCACCTAGTCTTTTCCCTGCTGCAGCAACCTACCCATCAAGTTTGTTCTTTATGTGTTCCACTGTACCAGGATGGATGGTGACCATGTCCCTCCCCCACTTCAATTAAACTGGCAGTATGTTTATCTTTTACCCACCTTTTGACAGCCTTAGCTGGAGTTGCTGTAAGTTTTTCAAACTCTTCTTTTTCAGAGAATATCACAACATTATCTGTAGATAAATAGTTAGAGAAATTTATATAGGCAAGGAGTTTCCAAACCAGTGCTTTGTGTCAGGAGCTGGTTCTGCTGGCAACCTTACTGCAAACATAAATCTCTCTGCTACTTTTTAAGTGCTATCAGAGGATTAATTGACATTCTGGTAGTACGAAAAAACTATTATAGACAATTCTTTAGTAAACTGATGTGGGTTTTATACAATTCAAAGGAGAAAATGTAATTAAGAGAAATGTATTAAGAGTATTTAAGCCCAATGTTGTCTTGGATAGAAAAAGCACAACTAAAAAAATGTATACCTTGCACTTCTTTCTTCTCTTCTTGTGTGTTAGCCTGAGCTTCAACATTTTTTACTGAGTGGCTCTTGCAACAGGCTAGAATATAAAAATAAAACACTAATTATTCTCAGAAGCTATCCAAAACCATCATTTGCAGCTGAAATTTCACCTGCTGAACAATTACCTTGAGCAGAAGGTTTTGTTTTCACAATGTAAAACATGATGATGAGGACAATGGCAATAGCCATTATGAAGATGGTAGACATGGCAATTATAAGAGCTGTAGCCAGATGTCCTTGTCCTGAAAGATCTGCTGGAATAAATTAAAAGAATACTTTCTTAAAGGAGCAACTCTTAGGATCAGAGAGTAGTTAATTGTTTGCAGTCTGCTCTCACACATATTTTGCATACTCGTTTAGTCGATCTGAGTCTTGGTTACTTATTAAGAATTGAAAAACTTAGTGTTGCATCTCAAAAGCAAACCAATTAACAGTTTTTCAATACTTTTATATTTATGCACTAGCCATCTAGCAATATTCATTAAAATATTTGATGGCATGATCCATCAGATACAACATATATGAAATTGTATTATCTGCTAATAACATAAAAGCTATACGTAAGCAAGAGTAGCAGCTTTTCTAGCACTGTTCTGGGAATCAGGATTGAAAAGACAAAATATAAGGTAAATATGCAAAGGGAATAAGAGCTAAAACAACTGTTGATAAGTGTGGCTGCCTCAAAAGCTCTGCAGTTAAAAGGAGAACACAATGCACATGTACAGGAACTGATGCTTTTCTAACAGATACTTTAAACACAGCACAGCTAGAAGGTGAATTTAAAATAAGCTATGTGAAAAGGTATTCAGAAATGGCACTTGGATGTGAAAGACTAGAATCGAAAAGCCACAAAAGGATGCAGAAAATTACAGATATGCTAAAATGCATGAAAACTTCAATTTTCTGAAAACATGATCTTCACAACCAGGTTTTCAGACAATACCAATAAGATCAGCATTGTCAGTGCCTCGTTAACTGCATCTTTCTTGTTGTGTCTTTTCAGGTTCACATATTTTAAAAACCTAACAATCATGCTGGAGAACTGTTTATGTTAGCTCAATAAGAGACTGACCATATTTGTACATTGAATTCTTGTCACCCTTCTAAGCTAAGCTTTTGATGAGGCAGAGTGCCATTTCTGTATAGCTACAAATAATGAGCTAAATTCACTGCTGGCATTACTGAGTACAGTTCAAATCCATTTAATGTTCAGCTAACTAAAGCAGCAGTTTTGATTAACCAAGAAATAAAAGTGAATTCTGAATTATTTCTAACAGCAGTTTTAGAAGTCCAGAAATAGTGGCAATGAAAACCACAATAAATATTTTCAGATATTTGGTTGCACTTTGTTGATGCCCTTTTCAAAACAAACATATTCTGAATTAACTTTGTGAGTGCATTCCTACCTTTGTGAGCATGCTGGTAAGGTGAGAAAGTGCTTGTGCCAGAGGTACTTGGAAAAATGGCTGAAATGCCAGAGTTAGCCCCTGCACCTGCAATATAAACAGAAAAGCCATAAACTTCCGTAGTTACTTTGTCCAGTCAAAGGAATATGTTGGCTCAAGTAAAAGGAGCTTTTCATTCGCTTGGTTGCATTCCCCATTTATTAGCAAAGAACCCATGAACTGGTCGTTTTTTGAAATGTCACTAATATCAATATGCATTACTGGCATGCTGAAAGTTGCTAATTGACTTTTTTGACTACATTTGACTACATTTTTGCATAGTGTCTAGAGAGAGTGGAAGAAATCAAAGATCCTGAACAGCTATGAACTGAGAAGACACCGAAGCATCTTCAGACACAGGCAGGGCCAACCGTTATAAACAGATTCCCATGTTACAGATCTGTCCTGGGTATCAGAAAGTTTTCCAGATCCAGCTGATGATTCAAACCATTTACAACCCCCTGCTCCATTATTTGCAACTGCAGACTCTGAGACTCAGCTCAGAGTCAGCTCATGTAGATTCATCAGACTAGCGCTTCTCACAAGCATCCGTCATTAGCAGCATCATTGTGAAGCTGTGATAGTATAGAAACCCTTCTGACCCCACAGGAAAACCAAGCAAAGGTGACAATTAGCAGTGTTGAATGCTCTTCTGTTCCATGGAGATGTACTGTCACAAAAGGAAGTATTAAAATTTCCTGTAATGTAACTGGGCAGTATGTTTCTTGTGATTGTCACTGTCAGTCCAAATATATATTCTGAGGAGAGGGAAAATCCACTAAAACAGTAAAGTGAAGAACTTGTAAGAATACTTTATACTGGCAGATGGGTAAGATTGTCCAATTGGGGTTTTCATGTCTAAATTCTACAATTAAGGTTAAAAGTTAATTTTTCAGTTGGTGTCATAAGCCAAGTTTTCAAAGCATTAAACCAAGCCATAAATTAACATATTTTGACAATATCAGACCATACTGCATATTATTTGGAATAAGTCTTTCACATAGAATGGCAGTGGCATAGTATTCCAAATCAGAACACAAATATTAGGGTTGGAGATAAACATTCTCTTAATTCTCAAATAAACTTTAATGCCACTGCTAAGCAGGTAATGCAAACAGATGCTGTCAACAGACACTGAAAAACACTTTCTGTCTTGGAAGGGGTATGAAATCCCTCCTGCTTTATATTAGCTGTCTATGGAAAAAAGTCCAGTGATAATTATATTCAGCAGACTTAAAGGCAAAAAATTGTCCCAGTCATCTGGTAAGATGTGCACAGCACATGGCTTCACAAGCTAATTTGGGAACTAGAGTAGATGAGAGCTCACTGTGCCATTCTTTTGACCAAGTAAATATTTGAAGAAACCAAATCCACCAGGTAAACTTGACAGGAAATTAAGTGCTCTGGAATGGTCTGAGAAACAAACAAAGCAATATACACATTCTTCAAATTAAGAGAAACGGCTTTTTAAAAAAGAAAAAAAAAGTATTACCCAACATAAAACATGGCTGCATGTAGTGAATGAGAAATGGACACTTAAAGTGGCCACAAAGTATGAGTTGCAGATGTCTTCAAAAGAAATTTTCTCTAACAATGATAAAACTTCTTTCAAACATCATTTGTTGGAAGGAAATGGATTAATTTATTATAACTGGGACTTTTTCAAACTGAATAAGTGTTTTCATAAAGTTTTAAATATACTACTTTATTAATTCAGATGCTTTTCATATTATGCAAATGACAGCCAGATTACATAAATCTTCCCTCTGGTCCTTTCTCTGTGACAGATTTCCTTCTAAGAAGAATTAGTTAGGAGCTCCAGGAACTGCAATGTAGCAGTAGACCATCTAGGGATCAGTAAATGAAGATGTCATCTGCAGGTAGTGGATATTGAGGACAGGTAATTCGTAAAACTTTCAGCAGTTCTTCACAAAATTGAAGTGAATCATCCTTGGTTGTGACCTCTGTGTTTACTCATCATGGCTGGACAACAGAGGAAATTTAGTAAATAGCTGGTGCTGTAGCCTGATACTTTCCTTCATGTCCACAGCTACCAGGCCTATGCCTGTTCTTGCATCCCCCCTGGCAAATCCAATTACAGCCAATTGGGATTCTGCGTGGTCCTTGCAAGCTGCAACAAGTCAACAATAGCTCCTCTTGTGCTGTCTCTTGGTGAACACAGGCAAGCAGTGCTGCTTTGTCTGCCTGCAGTTTAGCCAACAAACTCCAGCTCATCTCCCCCATGAGGGAATTTTGTCAAACTTGCCTCTTTTTCCTTCACTTGAAGCATGTAGTCACTGAAGTATTTCTGCCTAATCAATCTTTTAGTCGCTTGGTATTGTTAACCTTGTGCTTTCCATCCATCTGTGAAAGGAAGTAGAGCCTTTCAAGATGGGAAGTCACACAGTAGCACACAGAACAGGAATGGTAAGGAGGAAAGTCATCCATTCTTCATTCACCATCATCGTCACACTTCACTCAGCTCTACCCCACATGTTGTCCATACCAGGCACACACATGCACACATACACACAAGCCTCGCCTGTGCACAAGAGTGAGCACCTTCAGCTCCCGAGCCTACGTGCAGAATTGTCTTTGCATGGGAACAGAGCCACCTCGTTTGTTCTGTAGTGCCTATCCTGGCAAAATCAAGGCTGGTGCTAGAATGTGATGGCCTTTTATATATGCCTAGGTGGGAGTTAGTCATTATGCATATTTTAGGCCTATTGTCAAATTTTGGCATATCCATTATGAGCCAAGATTTCTCTTTAGATGTGGCTTAGAATAAAGTGCCAATTTGTGCACCTGCATTGCAAGAGGAACCAAAAATGCCAGCTTCTGTGGAATTTTGGTTTATATCACTTTTGTGTAAGCAAAAAGAACTCATAGCAGCTGCTTTTTCCCAGTCCAGCACCACGCCATGACTGCAATGTCAGTTGTTTCTGTGCACATCCAGTTTTGCATCCCAATCGCATTATTAATTCTGGTTCCAATATAGATGAAACATAATCTATAAAGACACTTAAGGAAACAGCACTTCAGATGGCATGCCTGTGCACTTGGAAAGTCATGGAAGCTAAAGCAGCTGTCAAAGCCAAGCTGCTTTCTGAGGTGCTTACATTATGACTTCGGTAACCAAATATAAACCAATCCTGAAAAACTTGCAAATCACCAATAACAGAGCATATCCTGGGCAATGACTGCTCTTTATTTTACTGTCTTTGCAGGGTACATACAGAATACTATAAAATAAGTGACTCTAATATCTTCTGGAACCACAGGTAGATTCTTCATTTAGTGTAGATAATTATTACACTAGGAAGAGCATGAAGTAAATTAATTCCTGAGATTTAAACTTCTAAAAAAGGTGATAAGAAAGTTCCCCCAGGCTTTTATTTTCAATATGGTCAATCTCACTGTAAGCAACCAGAACACATAAAAGGAAATATTTTATGCTGTTGTGCTCTCTGTAATGTCTTTCACTGTTTTATTTCTCTCTCCTTTTATTTTGCCAGGGCAGAGAAGTAGTGACAATTATAGGCCATGTGGTCTTAGTCTGATGATCTGGATTCACCAGGAGCTGTAATAATTGCACAGCACTGGAAGGTCATAGGCACACACTACATGAACTAAGCCTATGTTCAGCGATTCCGTACTATCACCTATTTCTCTGTGCAACATGAAGGGGATAACTGCTCTTTAAACCTTACTATCACGACTTCACAGCATCAGAAGGAAGAGAACAGACCCACCAGGAACCAAGCTTCCATTTCTCTGTTGTCCTGGTGGCCAGCCCATCTGTATGGGTGGTAGAAAGCTGCAGTTCTGCAGGTTTAGCAGCTCCTGAGCCCAGTCAGAGCAATGCTGCAGAGACCTGCAACGTCTTCCATGGGCAGGTGATGCTCACCGTGGGAGCTGCAGCTCCAGCACCAGTGAAAACATCAAAGTCATTGGAGTAACCACCAGGACCAGATACTCTCCTGAGTGATACCCCGGCCCAGCTTTCCCAGCAGCTGAGGACAGCAAATTTTGTATTTTCTTCTCTGATCCCTCCCCTTGAAGCTGAGGCTGGCTGATTTTGTCACAAGGTGAGGTTCCTTCCCTCATACGGACAAACCGTAAGGGGAGGAGAATCAGGCCATACCATTAGTGAATAATAAAGCACAGCCTTTAACATTTCTTTCACATTACACATGTGAAGAGGAAAGGGGTGTTCAGAGACCAAACAAGTCAAAAAAAAAAAAAAAAAGAGAGAAAGACAAGTTTGTTAGCTCTGGCTAACAAGCCTATTCATTTCTACGTGTAATTTGACACAAAAAAGTCCTGATGTTGATCATATTACAAAAACCAAAACTGGCAAGGAAAGGAAAATAGTGATATTACAAAGAATGGAGAGTTAAAATAAAAATCTCTGCAAGAATTATTTTCACTAATACAAGTGGTTTTGGCATTAGGCTTGTTTGTTTTAAGCACTTCGATTAAGGAGGCTGAGTTCTCAGTCTTCAGTACACAGGTATGGATGTGCTCCCCTGACTACAGTTCATCACATAAAGCCATCAATTGTTTAGTTCCTTTTGAAGTTCTAATGATTCAAGAATAAAAATTACCTTTTTTGTTTCTAGATGTCATTTGGTCTCTGGTAATTAAAAAATAACTTGACCACATATAGTTTTCCTCTATTGTTTTTCTTTTTTTCTTCTTCCTTTTTTTTTAATTTTCCCAAGTCATCATTGGTAGGTGTGAGACTTAAAAACTTACACAGGTTCGTAATTGTATCTGTTTTCATATATGAAACCAGCAAAAATGGTGAAATAAACCAACACAGAGTATTTTATGCCCATACACACTTATGAATATATGCAGTAGATTAAAAAAAAACCTTAATAAATTGCTGAAGTTCCTTAGATCTGTAAATGCAAAAAAAATGGCATATTTGATGTAATTGTGTAAATCCAACTTCAAAAAAAATGTTCTTAAAGTTTTTGTAACAGGGTTTGATTTTGTTTTCCTTCAGTATTTTTGAACTGAAGTGGCAGATATTAAAGTCTGAAGAGAAAGAGGGAGTTAATATATATAAACTCATTGAGAGTTTCTGCTGCTAAAAGACAAAATCTCTTCCAGCAGTAACTACCTCTTTGCCAGAGAAACTTCGTGTATGGCTAAACCTTCTGTCTTTTACATATGCTTTTACACTGGATAAAAGAAAAAAAAAATCAAACCAAAAAACACCCTACATAGTCAGCGGCCTGAAGTGACTCCAATTCCAGAGGTGCTGACAGAAAATTCAGCACCATTAACTGTGGGAAGCCACATCTTAGAGTGGTTTGGTGCTCATTACCTTAATTCTTTGATCTGCACGGGAAAGCTGCCTCCCCTGCCTCTTGCAGTGCTTTTATTTATCACAAAGGTATCATATCCCAATTTAGTGTCAGCAAGGGAGACTGATGGCTCATGATCTGCTTCATGCACAGCTGAAGGTCTCACACCTTTGACATTTTGGCATTGTGCTCCTCTGTGCTTAGCATGGAGGTTCCTACACAGGAGACTTGAGGGAACTGTATGCTGAGAGGCCAGAAATCTTACAGGTGTTTCACAGTGCACAAGATAGGAAAAACTGTAGTCTTTATGGTGACGTTTACCTTTTTCCCAGTAAGAAAAAGTTTTCCTGCTCCACAACACACATCCTTATGCTTATATATGCACAGCCTCTTCCCTGTATGTGCCCAGTGCCCAGTGCCCACAAGCTGCTGTTGAAGCCTGTTATTCCTCCCAGGCTGCAGAACTGTTGCTCCCATCCTTCAATCCAGTGCCTCAATTAAACCTCTCACCTCTGAGAAGTATCTCCCTTTCCTTCCCCTCCTTTCCATGCTATTTTGTGCTACTTATGTCTCAAAAAAAAAAAAAAAAAAAAGGTGATACAGGTCCATCAAGGAATTTCTTTCTCATTCCCAGTCATTTTTTCACTAATATTTCCAGATGCTGGAGCATGGAGTGTTCACCTTGTTTCCTCTGCCATTTCAAGTTTTCCTGACTGTATATGAGATGAAAGTTGCACAGCACACTCTTGGAGTTAAAAGACATTTTTTTACCCCTTGATCAAACCCAAATACTTTTTTTGCCAGATAAAATGTATCACAAGGCAAATTCTCTGAGGAAGTTTCCATGGAAGGGTATGCACCCCCCAGAGCTGGCCCTCTGTAACACACAGACAAGGCACTTCCCCAGCAAGGAATGTTTTCACCACTGTTCTCCAACACTAACAAAGGCCTGAAACAGTATTTATCTGCCCTCATTTTTCTGTCTAGAAGTGCAAAGCCAGAGCTTGTCACCCTAAGCTTCCTATTTTTAAGTAATTTGCCATTCTCATTTCCTTGTGACCCACTGGGTCACCTTTCTCCAGTGGTGTCCTGTACGCAGCAGTGTCTGAAGAATAAGATCTCTGGGGGAGAGGCAACCCTTTAGTTTGGGGTTTAAGCTCCCAAATGCTGTTCAATGCTATTCTGAACTCTCAAGAAAGGAACAGAAGATTCCTGGGCCATTTTGAGTTTTCATTCTGGTTCCTCCATCATGACAGCCAGCCAACAAGCAGAGGTCATTCTGCACAAAGGAACTATTCCTACCAAAAAGCTGGTAGGAATATGACAGAAACTATGTGCTTGTGTTAAGGTTATGTGCTCCAAGCGCACGTAACATGAGTTTGGAATTTGTAAAACTCAGAAAATTCCACAGTTGTGCATTACTGACATGTCACCTCTTCTTTGCTCTGACTGCTATAATCTGATGATAGTGAAATGTGTGAAAAAGACCATATACTAATACCAGATTTTACACTGCTTGCCACAGCAAAAAGTGAGCTGTTCAAGAGGTTCCTGCAGCAAGGCTGATTTTCCATCTGGAGTACAAATTAATGGCTATGAATTGGGAAGCTGCCATTCCAAACGGGGTCCAGAGGTTTAGACATCATAAGCCAAATTACCTGAGTTTAGTGATTTGAGGGATTTGGATTTTAAGACACTTTCCTGCTTTTTTAACACTTGTAATCAAATGGCTGGTTTCATGGAGTTGATTAAAATGGAAATCTTTAGTCTTTCTATTCCTAATGTTTTCTTCTACCTCAATACCCAGCCAATTTGTCAGTTTATGCACCTGCCTAAATTCCTCCCAAAGATAATATATATTTATTCTGTGTTTGTCAAGCTAAAAATTGCATGTGGTTAATCAGTTGTGCCATTCATCTTTCCTTACAGAAGCACATCACATATCGTATCTGTCAGATATCCTATAAAAGACAAAGATTTTTTTTTTTAATTGAATAATAGCCATAAATCTTCAGGTACTTCCTTGCCAAATCATTAAGTTACAACATGTCTAATACTAGTAAAACCCCATTTCAGAATGTGTTTGAGAGACACCATCAGAGCTGAGGAAGAGAGTAATTTCCAGCTATGGGCTAGCAGCAGGCAGGGTTCTGTTCCCACCAATGGGGCAGCCAGGTGCATCTGCATCCTCTTACCATATACCCTCAACTCCCACCAAGACTCCCTGTGCTGGGTTTGGCTGGGATACAGATAATTTTCTTAATAGTAGCTAGTATGGGGCTGTGGTTTGGATTTGTGACCAAAAAGGTGTTGATAATTCAGGGATGCTTTCATCATGGCTCAGCAGCGCTTCCACAGCACCTTTTCTGCCTCTTACCCCATCCCCCCAGTGAGTGGGCTGGGTGTACACAAGGAGCCAGGACAGTTGATCCCAACTGACCTGAGGGACATCCCACACCATATGTGTCATGCTCAGCATATAAAGCTGGGGGAAGAAGGAGGAAGGGTGGCACATTCAAAAAGTGATGGCGTTTGTGTTCCCAACTCACCATTATGTGTGATGTAGCCCTGCTTTCCTGGGGATGGCTGGATACCTGCCTGCCTGTGGGAAGTGGGGAATGAATTCCTTGTACTGCATTGCTGATGTGTGTAGCTTTTGTTTTACCTATTAGACTGTTTTTGTCTCAACCCATTAGTTTTCTCACTTTTACCCTTCCGATTCTCTTCCCTAGCCAATGGGTGGAGTGAGTGGCTGTGTGAGGCTGGACTGTCAGCTGGAGTTAAACCACGACATTCCTACCCTTGTGTTTTCACTTACCTCTCCACCTTCTTCCCATATCTCACATCTGGGTCCTCCCTGGCACCCCTACCTCACCTCCTAATACAGATGTTATCACATCAAAATCACACTCACCCTGTCCTCACCCACTCTCGCTGTCTCGGGACAGGTTGGGTTACTGCAGCCAAGTGGGGTGAGCAGCTGTACAAAAGACCCACCACTTTGCATGCAGAGAGCTCGGGGAGATACCTCCTTCTAGACTGCTACCACTCACCAGGAGCTCTGTGAGGTGGTGATTATGCCCTGGCTCCTCCAAGCTCTTGCACTTTAGGAAAGGTGGTAGCTGTTCATGACCTATCATCCTTTGAAGTGACCAGCAGATCACCAATGATACACAGTTCAGCAGCATCTGAACAAAATAATTGCTATTTATGTACACAAAAACAAATGCTCAGGGACTTTCATGTCAACTCCTCCTTTCAAATCAAGCAGGCAAAATATTACAATTACTTTTCATGACAAGGACTTCTAAAAGAACAGAACATGGACAGGATTTTGGGTTTAGAAGCATTAGGTTTCTCGAGGGAATTGCTCAGCTTTGTCTGGTTTTTTGTTTGTTTGGGTTTTTGGTTTGATCTTTTTTAAAGCTTTTTCTCCTGATCTTCTCCAGATTTTCTGAGGGGGTGTGGAAATAATTTGGTCATTCAGAGAGAACCTTTTTTTTTTTTTTCTGTTTCTCACTTTCTTTGCCCCCTAAAGGAGAAAGTGGTTTTCTGGGGGGTTGCCTCTGCATTACAGTGCTGGTGTGGGGCTGTCCCTCCTCCTCATGGCATAAGGATGGATAAGCCATTACACATGCACATGGCATGCAAACGAACAGGTACCTCTAGGGTGCCACACACACATACACATGATTTTTTTCAATTAGCAAACTACAGGTTCTTTGTCAATGAAATCTACAGAATTAACTCTTATCAGTGCTGACCACCGCACAGCAATATCAACCCTTGAATCACTTTGAAGCCAAAGGATACGAAAAGGTGAGATGCACTTTTTACTTGATCTACAAATTGTCCCATGTTTTCTTCTCAGATGAACTGAAACTCAATAAAAAAAATACACAGATATAGGATTTCCTGTACCTACTGGTTAAGTAAGCCTAGTAAGTCCTGCATGGGATGTCTTAACAGACGAAAACTGGAGCACAAATGAACAACAGCAGGTCTTAAATCAAAGGTTCTGATCTCTCCTCAAATGATCAGCATTCCCTCCCTTTGTTGGCAAGGCTAGTTGGAAGAAGAAATTGCTTTACTGGAGCTGGGCTTATTGTTTGAACATAATAATCATCACTGAAAGACTTCACGTTGAGCTTGCAGATGACTGTAAGTCAAAACCAGATGATTTAAAGTCAAAACCAGATGAAATGCACAGAAATGGCAGAACACTTACATTCCTTGGTGTTAGGAGGTGCCAACAAGCACGAGTAGCAAACCATCCCGTAGATGTTGCGAGGTCTGTTTTCCAGCATGTAGTAACTGCAATGAAGGGCAAGATGAGACAAAACAGTGTAAATTAATATGCTACAACTGAGTATGGTTCAGCAGCAACCAATTATACAGAGATAAAATCATTAAAAAAAAAACTTTTATAAGCAATGTGATACAAAGATTATTATTCTTTTTTTTTTAATTGTCCGAATAGAGACAATTCTTCCTTTCCTCCTAAAAGGTAATTAATCAAACATCGAGACATGACAAGAAGTGGTAACACTGCCCAAAACAACATTATTCTCCCTACTGAATTCAAGCTGCAATTTACAGCATGCCCTGAAAAGAGATTTTGCAAAATATGGGAATGCTATTTTTTGAAACAGTAATCTTTCAAGCAAGACCACCAGTTGGATATGGTTGGCTGATTTTATTCACAAACACCATATGAATAATCTCCATAATTTTAGAACCAAACCTGAGCCAAATCATAATAAAAAATACATGAAAATACCACTCTTACAAGGCAAAGCAGATTAGCTTTTGTAGGTTTGGTTTGGGATTTTTTACCTCCTTGCTGTATTGTTTATAAGTTAGTCCTTGATAGTGGAATTACAGCGTGAAGGAATTTGAACTTAATGATTTGAACTTCTGGGCTGATAATAAAGTTAATGTTGGAATAAGGTAATTGGTTATGCAAGAGTTGGATCCACATGCACCTTAATGAGTAAATTACATCAAAATCATACATATATTGATGTAACATCACACAGTTGATGTTATGGATATGTCTTTACAAATCACTTGTAAATCACTACAGATCTTAATGAAGAGATGAATAAATTCATAATCCATTCTGTGTAGACAGGTGCTCAACATTACAAACACTTTATACAATGGGGAATCTGTTTCCTGCTCTTATGTACCTGTCTATGCACGTGCAGTATAGTTTTGTTTGTTTTTTTTTTCTGGAAATGTATGTATTGTTAGGAAATCACTGCTGAAACTTCATCAAAATCAGTTGGTGTACTAATTAATGATCCAGCCTACAAATAAGGGATATAGCACCAGGAAATGGAGTACACAGAGATGCAACGGGGAGATAGGGACTCAGAGGAGGAACCTCAGAGAGACGGTGAACTGAACATGGTTCATTTCTTATTGGTTTTAAAAGATGCACCCTCACTCCTCCCTATAAATGTCTCTTGTGCCCCATCTGCCACTCTACCCTTCTCTCAGGAGCAAAACTTCATCTTTCTTCTCTTATGGGGGCCTATGTAATATCAGGTTGTAAAGCAACTAATGAATAAGGAGGGAAAGATTGCCAAACCACAAAACAAAAGAGTGGAAGGCCAAAGATACATATAAATATATGAAGAAAAATACAGGACAGTTAGGATCCATAGTCTAATACCTGTGGTGGTTTAGGAAAGACAAACAATCCTTCTGACAGTTAATTAAATCAAACTGGTGGAATAGTTCCTGGTTTTCGACACAATGCAGAATGGTGGAGCACATACAAAGAAAACTGAAGAGGATGATCATGGCAGGCAACTGTTGACCAATTGAATAGGAAACTCTGCAGCTGCAAACATTAGTGATTCACCCCCATGAAGTACTGGCAACAGACTTGTGTTTCAGGTTACTTTCCAATGCACCAGATATTTAAGGCAAGGTTGGAAATATCTGATCCCTTTATGTCAATAACTATGGAGAAGAAGTGGCCCAGTAATGAAATAATGAATTTTCACAGTATTAGTCTTCCACCATGAGACTCATTCTTTCTTTCCTTGGCACCTGCCAGGCTCAGGTTTGAAAGTGTTACAGACAAAATCTGAGATTAAAAGCTAGACTGAAATATGGACTTATTTTCCTGCTTAACACCTTGGTGGTTTATCTTGGGCTAACCTTGGTGGTGCCATGTCACTCTCAGGGACTTGAACCCAGGCTAGGTCTGCTGTCCTGCAGGGACCAGGGCACCTGGGACTGGGGCAGGAGGTGGAGGGGGGCAGGGTAGTGCCCTTCTCTGCAGGGGACAGTCTGCAGAAAGCAAGAAGTTGGTGAGCACATGGGTGGAGGCACCTGCTGCCTTATTCAGAATGGGGTGTGTGGGGGTGGGGGAGGGTCTTTATTTTATTAAAAATTCACCGGCTAAACCTTTTCATCCAGAAAACAAATGAGAGTTCACTGCTTCTCTTAAAATGTCTCAGAGAAGGGAACTGAATGTGGATTTGTTGGAACTACGGAACACATGAAAAGGGGAAGCCTCAGTGGTAGAGGCATTTCCGACTACATTTAAAAAGAAAATTATCCTATTGCAATTCTACATTGTGAGGAGACTGGGGACTTAAGATGAAAATAGGTGCTGGGGCAGCATAAGGGATATGTATCTTATATACTTGGCCTCTTCTTACTCCTCCATGGGTTTCCACTAATGGCCACTACTAAAAGAAGACATATGACCAGGCTAGAGGGACCCTTGCTCTGACCCACTGTGGCTGCTTGTAGTTAGCTGTGATCTCACTTACATTCCAGGAACACCTAATGGATCACCCCACTGAGGGAAATAGTCTGACTCACACCTAATTTCCACATTCTTGACCTGTCCTATTTGGCATGATGGAAGAGCTTCTGGGCAGGAGCAGAGAACAAAGCCTGCAGTGTCCCAGGAGGTTCAGTCTAGGTACCTCTAGAGTTCACCGGCAACTGGACTTTGGTTTTGAGGATCACAGCTTCAGAGTAAGCCTTTAAAATCTTTCCTGGCCATAGTCTTGCATCCTTCTTGTATGTGTGACAGTGCTATTTTTATTTTATATTGGAGAGAAGACAGAGAGGCAGTGGATGACCCCTTCTCTTGTACCAAAGGTCTCTTTCTTCCCTAAAATTGATAATAAGAGTGAAAAAAAATAGAAGGAAAATATATAATTATCCAGTGCTTATTTTAAGATGAAGTATAAAGGACAACACTTGTAGCCACTGGAAAAGGCTGCGAGTTCAGTGGTTTTTTGTCTGAAAACTTCTGCTCAGAATGTGCCATATGTTCATCTTTTCCTCGCACTGCTTTGCTGAGCTGGTGAAAAATAGCAAAGGGATGAGATGTCCCTAAATGGAGATGTGAGCTGTTACTTCGGGAAGATCAGCAGCATGTTATGGAAGCAGTCCTCTGAAAATGGAAACCTTATTTTTTCCCGTTATATTGACTGAGGGGCTCTTTTAGGTTTACTGCCTAGGCAAGGGAGCACTCTGACAGCTGCCACTCACCCTGGTGCCTGGCTGTCCCTGTGACACCAGGGGCAATAACGAGATCAGCCTGAGCTACTCACCAGCTCTCTGCTCTGACACAGGGGGTCTGCATTTCCCCCACCCTCGCAAAGGAGCAAACTCTGAGGACTCTAAGTAGCATGAGGAGTCAGGGCAGCTTCAGAGCTGGTTTTAGCCCATGTTTAGTTTATCTTGAGAGTTCCATCTATTCAAGCTTGGACTAAGAGGGTGTTTCTTCTTAACTGCTGGTTTTGCCAAACAATCCCGGGACCTGAGAGTTGCACAGGAGTGGCACACAGCCAAATTCCGGCAGGCCAGTTTCTGCTACAGGCTACACCTGTGCAAACACGATGTTTTGAGAGTTCTCCCCAAGCACCAGCTGTGCAAGCTGATTATTTTCAGCCAGCACCCTACTCCCACCTGGGTGACCTCATCAGTCCTGACAAAAATTGCAAAATAGCAATTGTGGCCACTATTTAAGTTTCTTGCTCTTTATAATGTATGAGGGGAAGTCAAGAGGGACCTCTTTTCAAATCACATCATCAGTCTGTTTGGCTGGCAGCTAGACAAGTCCTTCATTTTATTTGTAAACTGTGAAAATTTCACACAGACTCACTGATATAATAAACCTGGAAGCCTGCAGGGCCTCTTTAACAGGGTTCTCTGTGCTATAAGCAGTGTAGGTTATACAGTATCTGCAAACTGCACAAAAGCCAAAAGTCAACAGAATTACTCTTTAAACCAAAGTGGCACAGTGGCAGAAACTGAAAAGGTATGTAAGGTGATGTTGTGTTTTAGAGTATTTACTCACCCTACAAAAAAAATGTTGAGAGTGCATAGGTATGCTTTGGTTTGCAGACTTTCAAATGTAATACAGACGAGAATATACTGCTAACATATCCAATGTAGCAATATCTTTCTCACTATTACTATAATTATATTATTATACTGAGCATAAGAGACCATTACAAAGATGGACTTAGAAAACATTATTTATTTTAAGCCCCTTCAGCCAGCCCTGAAACTTGTTTTGACTCTGAACAACAGCAACCCCCCCACACATTAGCAGCTCCTTAGACCCTTTTCTGTTGGCTAGAAAGGACCCTAAGAGACTAAAATGCCTTGGTAAATCTCACCTAACAGATATGTTAGGTAATGCTGTCAACTACTGACAAATGTGCCAGCTGCTCACATCTGGAGAAGAGATATTTTATGCTCCCAAACATGCCACAGTGCCTCCATAGACCCTACAGGGTATCCAAGGCATTTTCATGCAGTTCATTTGTAGGATGCAGGATGTAGGACTTAGCAGATGGCCCTCTGAAGCTACAGATGGAGTCCGAGCTGGATTTCTTAGAGCATTTAAAATGGCACTGCACACATATGCTTGTTCCCTTTCCACTTCTAGCAAGAGAAAAAAGTTTTCTAGCTGGTCCAAACAACTACTTCTTCAGTGAGGTTTCAGTAAGATTAACGACATCTTCTTTAGGGTCCCTTCCAACCCTAACCATTCTATGATTTATTAAACTCATCAATGCTTTTGAAATAAATGTTTCAAATGTATTAGTTTAGCAGAGACAAAAAAGCATAATTCACCATAATTTCCCCTACAGTCAGCTAGGACATGAAGAAAAGCTGTCAAAGACTTTGACATCAAGGAAGTATTTTCCAGTGCCTTGGGTAGAGCAAAGGTCTGTGGAAAAGTCCTTACCCTGGGAGACAAGGACCACATTCTGCATCATTCTCCTGATCACCAGGTGTCATGACTGTGGCTCGAAAAAAACCCTCACAGTCTTTGTGCCGTCTGCATATCTGGTAACCTCCTCTGGAAAACTTCTCTGAAGGGCAGGGGATGCAGCCATAGTCCTCGTCTTTGGTGCCATATCCACATGTCTGCAACAACACAAAGTCACTGAAAAGCAGTCTTGTGCTGCACACCAACTTCTAGCAAAAGAGAATGTTCAGAGCCTGGTTCATTGGCTTTGCAGCACAAAGGGAGAGAAGTCTGCTGTTCGGCACATTAATGTCTGTCCTAAAAACGCCATGCAGGGCTATAAGGATGCAGCATGCTGCGTGCTGGAGAGGGAGAACTGGAGCATCATACTCCTTGTAAGTGGCCCCCCATAGCTACTTCTATCATAGTCCAGCAAATCGTGGAAGTGACTTTCAGCTGCTACTTAGACAGAAAGCGAACTGAAAATGGAAGAGTAGAGGAGACTACTACAGGAGAAACACAGCTGCAGCAGGGCTATCAGCAGCTTTCATGCTAGGAGAGCCCAGAGGGAACATCACAAAAGGCAATGTTTGGATGGGATTTTGTAACCTCTGAACTCACAAGTCTCAGCTGAACATTATGTTTAGATTAAATAAAACTAAACCCAACTTGTTATTATTCAAACGTCCTTGTTCAGGACTACCAACTGTGTGAAATGTTTGCACTAGGATGTTTATCCCATTAAAACCAAACAGGATTTTAATAATTTATTTTTTTTAATAAGCAACAATTATCTGTTGTAAATCAAATGGTTACTTAGGAACCATAATTTAAAATGTTGCAGAAACATTCAAGTTCCTCTAGTGCCAAAATATCTCAGTGGGAGAGCAAAACTAAATTGTTGGTGTGGGGGGCCAGCAAGCACGCCAGACTAACCGATTTATCACACCATGCTAGAACAGCAGCATCAGATTTTAAACAACTGTTGAGAAGAGAACAGACTGGCAGAGACTCTGTGTGGAACTTTTACCTTTCAACTTTTACAGTATCACTTTTAACAGGCTGCTCCTGAGATGTGGATTAGTGGCATGCATGCATGATGCCTTTCTCCCACTTCACACTTGCACATGTGAGCGCTCCTGCTTAAGCACCCCTGTCCTTCCCCATTTTCTTTCCTATCCATATATTACCACCAGGTAGCAAAGCATTTGTTTTTCACATTTGGTGTTTGATATGTCCCCCACCAGCAGAGGAAGCTGAAATTACCATGTAAGGTTCTTCACCCGGCTCGCACTTGGGGCAGTCATGGCACATGCCAGTGGTCTGGTTGTAGTATTCATTCTCGCCGCAGTTGGAGTATTCAGCACTGGCAGAGTACACCAGGGAGACCTGTCACCAGAGAGCATCCCAGAGCACTGTCACTTCCACGGCTTTCCTTATCCATGCCTCACCCCCTCCCCTTGCCCAGCTGCTCAGCAGACAGCAGGGCCAGCACTGCAGTGTGAAACACCCCTAAAGCTCAGAAGCAGAAGTGGTAATACTACATGGAATGGAAGAAGATGCATTTTTCAACCTGGTCCTTCTAAGAGCTTCTCAGAGCGCTGATGTTCATGCTTGTTGGCACAGCCACTCATTAAAATACTGAAAGCTATGGTTCCTGACCTATTAACTCTCATGGTCTCCTGCACAAGTCTGAGTTTGCACTCTCATGCTTCCCAGCTCTAATGAGCCTTCATAAAAGTGACTGCAATGGACAACTATATCAACCCAAGATAATGCACTGCCTTGGGCCTCAACCATGATAGGGCTTCATGTGATGCACAGGCTAATCAGTGCTTCCATCGCCTTCTGTCTCTGCTCCATCCTGAGTCCTCCTCTTTCCCCCTCCCCTCTAGCAGCCACAGTTCAAGCAGCATATGCCCAAGTGTTTTATTAAATGAAAACTGATCACTGCATCAGGCTTCAGTCCCTAGGTCATCTGTGGTTCTGCCATGACGATTCACAGATGGTTGTGAAGAACGCAAGCAGAACCCTGTTATATTTGCACACCAGAGAGACATGTACATACATAAATACCTACCACCAGGAAAGGGAACACGTGAGTCCATTTACGTTCACTCAGGTGAGCCATGCTCTCTTGATGCTTTACCTGAAAAGATAGAATTGGTGATTGTTTATGAACATGAGTAAATATTTGTGTGTGTTGCCAAAATAAGAACAGAAGGGCTCATAAGCAGAACAAAGGTTACATGGGAGTGACGCCCAGAGATCTAAACAGAGGGGGAGATGTGCACGTGCGCACACACACACACGCTACACACCCTTACTGCACATCTCTTTCCTCTCTTTGAGAAGACCAGTGGCATGAGGGATTTGCCATATTGACAAAAATCTGTGAAAGATGAGGAGCCAAGTCTGAGTTCTGACAGTTCTTGGCTTGCTGAGAAATCCTCCCAGAGGAACTGAGAACTACATCTTGACAACCAAATGAAAGAGGGCTGGGGATCAGTAGCCTGGCTTATGTCCACACCACTTAGTGCTTGACCACACCAGATCAGGTTTGCCTAGGAAAGATCTGGATGGAGGAGCCAAAGCAGAGCCAGGGAGTGAACCGATGGCAAGCAGTGTAGGCAATCAGCAGCACACCAGGGCTGCACTTTCCTTGATGGCTCCTGTGGATCCACTGAGAAAGCCCAGAAGTGCCTTCTGTGGGAAGCATCAGCTGCTTTTTGTTCTTGATAAGCAAACTGCAGATTTAACAAGTTAAACACAATGAAGGAGCCAAACTTTATATTTGAATTACCATTAAAATGGTTGGGGAAAAGAAAGGCTGCAATCAATGTTACAAACACACATGTTAATTTATTTAGTTTCTTAAAATGAGTAATTTCGAATAAGAGCTAATATTACATATTCATGTACTGGATATCTTTATAAGGTGAAAAAAGAGACTGGAAAAGGAGGCACAGATTGTTTTGTTAGCCTGACACAACATATTTAATGATACTGTTACAGCACATAATATGCCCTAGGGATTTTAGAGCTTCAAATTGCAAATGTTTGAGATACAGTCGCAACACTTTGGTCCTAGCAGATGTAAACCACTCTTTCAATTTTCCAGGTCTCAGACACTGGGAGACTTTTAGTCTCCCACAAGAGTACAATTACTGCTTTGTGCCACATTTGAGTATACAACCTACATGAGAGCAGTGCTTCAGTATTTGTGATAGCTGCTAACATTTACATTTCTAAACACTAAGTAGATTAAGCAAAGATTATATCGCTCCAGCATCAAGCTATGAACTTGCTTTATACGTTCCTTCCAGCAATTGGGCTAGCTGAGACAGGTAACTGGGTGGGTGGGTGGACAACATGAATTATGAGTATATTCATTTCTGCAGGAAATTGCACTTTGAAACCTAGAAACAAAAGAGAATCAGAGATAAATTGTCCTAAATCTGGAGGTAAGAGATGGAAAATAGTCATGCAATTGTACAAAGTGTCAAACATGTAAGTTGGATGAAGGCTTTGTCTATGGCAGTGCAGTTGCTTGGAAAGGTTCCAAGGATATAGTCTTAATGCATACGTCTGTTAAACTGTACCCTAATTATAAAAGAGTTTGTTAGACCATAGATATTAATATTATTAAGGCTGTGTCCCCACTGATACTGAAAAATTATCATATTTATTATAAATCTGGTCTGAGGCTGCTCAGAACCAAAAATTTCAACACTAAATCTTAAATCTGTAACTTTACAGTAAGAATATGTTTTACAGCAAAACCACACTCCAGTTATTTTCAAGCCCCCCAGATGTTTGCTGTTTGAGGTACTTGAGTGCAATCATAGCCAGATTTGAAAAATGGAACTGAAGAAGTGTAGCCCACTAACGTATAATACAGTATTCTCCATTTGGCATTTATTTACATAAAATGTTGAAAATGTCAAGTTATACATAGATAAATAAAATATTTTTCTGCCTCTTAATATAAATATGCATGTGGGATATGTTTTGCATGTAAATATTTTTTTTCTTTGCATTCCATCATTATATGCAGCAATATGTCAAGCATATGGGAAATACTTTTTTAACTGGAAAAAGCCATTTCAAAGTGCTAAACATGGCCAAACTAGAACTACAGGGGAGACTTTTTCTCCAAATTGGAATACCAAAAAAGTTAAATTTAAGTATTCATTCTCCTATTCAAGTACACTGGCATAAATTGGCTGTGTTATTTTCTGCTGGTTTCTTTTTGGTTTTGTTTATTTGTTTGTTCTTGTTTGTTTGTTTGGGGGGGTTGTGGTTTTGTTTTGTTTTGTTTTTTCCTCCTTTGGAGTTAAAGCTCAAAAAACTTACTTTCATTGTATAACACAGGAGGTGGGGGAAGGTAGATGGGCCATAGGTAGTTACTCAGCTTGGTGATACCTGAAGGTATCTGCCAAGAAATGCCAGGCTGCTCGAGGGCTTGTTTTCAGTTTTCAGGCATGTTAAGTTATATCTGCACCATGCTATTTGTCACTCATTAATCCTATCCACACAACAATGGATCTTCTAGTGCCAAGATCCCCTTTTTGTCTAGCTGACATCTATGAAGACATGGACAACCAGACAGCTTCTGATAAAAAGCACGAAGAAGAGTGACCAGTTATCATAGCCCCTAACCATTAAAAGAAATTAGTTCTTAATTAATTATTCCACTTTGACTGAAGCAAATGACTGTGGCATGGCTCTCCTGTGAGATGGCATGAAGCAGGGAGCGGGAAGGAGCTGGACATGTATTTTTTGCTGGGACTATGCTATCACTTCTAAGGAATTTGGGATCTCTGGCAGCTTGTCTGCTGAGCCCTTCACAGATCCTGATTTGTGTTTTTGTTTGGGACGTGTGGGTGTCTCCTGAAAGGAGGTGTAAAACACAGACCTGTATCTTTGTGGATCAGGTGTGCAACACACAGCAAGCCTCGTCATGACTAGCGGGGGTTGCTAATTACAGCTATATTTGTCTTTTGGGCATATTCGTTAGTAGCTGGCAAGAATATACACATAAGCTGACAGGCAAGGGAAGACTATTCTCCCAGTGGCAACCACAGAAAGAAATGCTAGAGACTCCTTGTCTCAGCTACTCTCCCACAGAATGCAAGGTGGAAATTTGGGGAACAGGAAAAGAGATGACTGGGAACCTATTGCTCAAATATTTCTCCTCTCAGACAAAAAGGTGTTGCAAACAGTCCTTGTGGTTTCTCACCAAGAACTGGCAGATACAAATAAATAAATAAATAAATAAATAAATAAATAAACAGGAAGAAAATGCTTAGTTCATGCTGTCTAAAAGAGGAAAAGCAACATTCATTGCAGTTAACCTTTAAATCTCACAATTTACTTAGTTTATAAGGTAGCACTGCCATGATATTTAGACGATCCATGAGTACAGTCGGAGTAAATATATGAAATGTGCAAACAATGAGGTTACTACAGCTAGTGGTCTAAGCTAAACCTCACAGCTTTTGATGGATGGCCTTAGACATTTTTTTAATTCCCTGGCTTCAGTAAGTAATACAGTGCAAAAATAATTTGCTGTCATAGACTTTTTTGTTCTTTAAAATACAGTTGAAAAGAGAAGGAAAACAAACGCATGGATTGAAGTATAGAAGTATGTTTCTTAATGTTGCTAGAGAGGTGGGGGCTTTTTGGTGTCTCTATATTTCTTTAGTTTCATCACTGACATAGATATACTTCAAGGACATCAAGGACATAAAACTTAATCTTGTGAGAGGGAAAGGCACAAACACCATCTTAAACAACTTTGCCAATTCTGATATTTCTATATGCATTTCTTTTCTGGGGTTTCCTAAGCAGTTTGGTTATCAGGCCTGTGGCTATGAATGTAATACCTAAGTAGCTGGGAAATCTGAATTGATCATAAATCCACATCCAAGATCTCTATAAAAACAGCAGAATGTGAGACAAATGCTTTCACACAAATAAAGGTAGGCATGTTGTATGTACTTCACAAGGACCACCAGCAAATCCAGCACTTGTCCTGAGTTTCTAGGTTTTATGGGAGGAACCTCCCAAAACACCTTTTCCAAAGATTACCACAGTTTTTTGCATGAGCTCAGTAAATAATCTCTGTATGCTCCCGATGCTGCTAAATCCTTCTTAATTGAGATTATAATAAGCATATAAGCATATAATCCTCACTGCAGGGCCTCACAGGCTTCAGAGTTCAGCAGCAGAGCTCAGTCTAGCTCCAGACTTGTGAAAAAAGAGAGTTTGAGTTCTACTTTCAGGAGGGGAAAAGGTTCTCCGAGCCCATCACTGAATGACAACGATGGCACTGCAAGCTTGGGGACAGAATAAACTTAGAGAAGTATAAGTAAGTAAAAACACAGAAATTATGGAAAAAACCTATTTCATAATCCTGATTATAGTTTGTATTGTTGTGAAAAAGTACTGCATGGAGCATTATTACACTTGTAGGACAACACCAACTACACTGTTTCCCACTGTTTCTTTATCACTTTGACCTTCCAAATACCTTAAGAATTACCTTACAGAGATGTCAAAAGTGCTAAAATGATACAACTCCATTTTTCCATTTCACCTGAAACATCAAAAGAAAGTGAGAACAGCTCAAGCTACACATAATACTTTCATTGCCCCTGTGATCTGGCAACTCTCTCAGAGAAATAATTGATTGGGCACAGAAACAAGACTTTTTCCAGTGGGAACTGCATTAACAAGAGGGGACATTAAAGATTCTTTAATTTATTAATGGGGGCAAGATGTGCTGAGGACCTGGGGACAGTCAAGCTTCTTACAGACCCATTTATTTGGAAACTACATCTGGAAGTCTGTATTTGAACCTGCTTTCTCACCTTACATAAAGACACGTGTTGGCTCTCATGTAGGTGGGCCATCAGCTTTCTGAAAAGGTCTTCAGGGAAAAAAAAAAAGACTACCATGCAGGAACAAAGCAAAAGCAGCAAAGAAGGGAAGGCTGTTTTCAACACACTTTGCATGGCTGGCATACATTTCTATGGAAAGGGGGCACTAACAAGGCACAGGGCCCAAACTATTCCTTCTGGTTTGCTTGCTTACATTTATGTATTCAGAGGGCTCAGGCTTTTCTTTTAAGAAACACTGG